ATATCTGAAGTAACAAGGCACAGAAAACGCAGGCCACGCATTAACACCCAAGGTCTTCCCGGTGAGAGCTCTTTATTGGCTTCATGCTAAGGACCTTCTCTTTGCCAGCGATGTGTAAACTAAATTGTATACAGTTTACAGTTCCTGTAAAGTGGCTTCACTTAAGCCAAAGGCTTTTATTCTAAATCGTTTCCCTTAAAATAGGATGAATTTGTTCTTAAACGGTTTAGAGCATAACTGGGAACCAGCAATCAACACTGCAGAACTTTTTTTGCACGTGTGGGCTCACCTGATTTCCTGAGCAGGGGCGTCACTGGGGAGCCGTCCCGGGGCGGCGCGGGAAGGAGCCCAGGGCGCTGCAGGGGTCAGTCCAACTGCGATGCAGCCAACGCAGACCCCGCTCCACCTAGAACGTTCAAGTTTGAGTGGACGCTCAGTGGGAAGGGAAGGGGCTTCATAATCCCAGGGACCAGTTTGCAGATGTCAGTCTCCCCCAGGAAGGACACTTGACCTGCATAAGTCTCCTTCCTTGGCAGAAGCCAATGGCCAGACTGGGCTGAGAGCTGGTGGCACCCCCAGCAGCTGGAGGAGAAGGTCCTTTTGTTTCATATCATTCCTCTGGGTTTAGAGACACAAACATTACTTTTTTGCTTCATCGTTGGGCCACCCGAAGAGAAGTCCCAGCAGAGGTTTAAAGATCTCTCTGATGGCCCTGGCTGGTGTGGTTCAGTTGGTTGGAGCATCATCCAGTAAATCGAAAGGTCCCAGGTCACCACCGGTCACGGGTTTGATTCCCAGTCGGGGTCAGGGCACGTGCTGAGGTTGTAGATTTTGTCCCGGTCGGGGCATGCACGAGAGGCAACTGATGTTTCTCTCCCCCTCTCTCTCCCTCTCTTCTCCTGTCTCTAATCAGGTGAGGATAAAAATGAATAACTAAGTCACCACTACAAAAAACAAAGATCTCCTGGATGAAATTTCTTCTTGGCCAAGTCTCTCCACTCCTGCCCTTCTGAACACTGGCCTGTGACCATTACAGGGAGCATTTCTCTGTGTCTTGGCTCTTCTAGTGAGTGAGGTGACTGCAGTCCTGGGTGAAGGCTAAGAAGTGAGGAGGAGGGGAGGAAGGAACACCGTGGCTGGGTGACGGGGAGCGGTTCACATGCCCCTATGGTGTTTACCAGTCATTGTATCTCGTGGTCAAAGCCGTGCTGGAAAATGGGTCAAGGCCTCCATCCCCAATGAAAGATACACAGCAGATTTCCTGAGAAGATATATTAAGATTCATCTGACAATGGTTTTGTGTAGAAGGTTTATTTATAAAGCAGTAATGTTGAACAGAATACTGTGTGATGACAGAATTTTGAATATCTGCATTGTCCAGCATAGTAGCCAGCCACTGACCAGATGTCACTCCTGAGCCCTTGAAATGTGGCTGGTGTGATGGAGACAATACATTTCAGATTTTATTTGACTTTAATTCATATCATTCAATGGCTTCATGTGGCTAGTGGCTGCCATATTGGACAGTGAAGTTATCAAGTATACGATTTTTAATAAGTTGGCACAAAACATTGTGTCTGTTTAAGGAGAGGGTGCACAGGCTAAAACAAACATGAGAAAATGCAAAGGAAAAGGAAGAGATTGACTTAACACCGAAAAATCCTAGCCCCCGGGATGGGGAGATTTTCACTGGTGGGTTGACAGGGCAGTGGCCTCCTTTGGGCCCGAGCAGAGTTTTGCCCTGTGAAGCAGTTTTCACCACACCATTGTATTTCTGAATCACTAAAAATTCAGAGGATGTTTGAGCTAAGGTAGCCCTCAACATTCCAACTCCCCGGATTTTAATATCTGTCACAAACTACTTTACCCAGAATGCACTGTTTGAATTGAAAATCTGCTCTAGGAAATGTAGCTGCACAGACTGTAAAAACCAGTGTGTTGCCTGTGAGCCTGGGAAAGAGGACGGAGCAGGATCTGCGTCCCCGTCTCAGCTCTTCCTGGCAGCATCCTGTCCATGCCCCTTTTCTGGGGTCCTCCTCGCTGACCTTCCTCCCCACCTCCGCCCCCACCCCCACCAACCCCTTAGTGCACAGAAATGGAACAACTGTGACTATGGCCACAGTGAGCTGCAGAGGGCCTGGGCCGTGCACTTCGAGGTGGTTTTTGCTTCTCGTTCTCTCAGGGTTCAGCAGTGTCTTAAAAAGAGCTGGGTTTGGGTGTTCTGGCCAAGGCTGAGGAACAAGGGTTTCTGGTTCAGCCTGTGACAGGAAACCGCAAGACTGGGGGCTGCTGTGGTGGCAGCTCTGTCCCCTAAGAGGGCAGGGACCTTCTCATCTGGTGTGATCTGAAGGGACCCAAAGCCCCTCTGCCCAAATAGGCCCCTGCAGCCCACTGCCCCTAAGATGCCATTCCTCTCTTGGGAGTGAAGGTTTTCCACCAAGACAGTGGGTGGACGAGGAACACACCCACGGGAAGACGGAGAAGGAGGGCAGCGGGGCTGAACACACACCTGAGCAGTTCGAGCAAACAGTCAGACATTCAGGTCCTCAAACACCAGGTACTGGCTGGAAGGTTCCTCTGGTGGAATCATGGCCCCCTACTCTCAGACGGGCAGCATCTTGTAAAAGACAAGAGCTCCAGCCCTGGCTAGTGTGGCTCATGGGGTTGGAGTGTCTTCCTGTAGCAGAAGGCTTGTGGGTTCGAGCTGGGTCAGGGCAGAAGCTGAGGTTATGACCCCCTACTCAGGAGAGATCCGATCAATGCTTCTCTCTCACTCCATGTTTCTCTCTCTCCCTTCCTCCACCTTCCTCTCTCTCTGGAAGCAATGAAGGAGTGTCCTTGGGTGAGGATAATAAAAATAAATTAATTAAAATAATTTAAAAAATAGATGTACTCTGCAGGTCTTATTTGCTACCAGTTACCAGTTCCCAGACTTGAAAAACCATCTGTTGAAAGTGCAGATTGATCAGTTGCTGTCTTGCTAACTTGGACCCTTCCTCCCGCCCCCAGACCCTCCCTGCTGTGAGAACCACTGGTCTAGTGCACATCCAGTCTGCCAAGTAGCTGTGGTTACTGGTTTCCATGACTCAGGGGACCATTGCAGGGCCGAAGCCCCAGGTCTCCCGGCTGACTGGGGTGCTGATGGTTGACGGCTCACCACCGACCCCTCCTCTCAATGGTAGGCTGAGAGTGAGAGAAGTCCCCTCAAGAGTACTTTCAGCTGAAGAGAGTCACCTCCCCCAGAATGCCCCCCACTCTCAGGGCAGCTCACGGTTATGACCACTCTTAGGACTGACAAAGGCCTGACCTCTTACCCCACGTGGGGACAGCGGAGCTTCGGCTCCTGTGAGCGTGGCTAAAGCCCTTTGTGAGTCCTCACAGCCCGGGTCTCCTCCTGTCCGACCCTGCTTCCTTCACTGTCCGCCCACGGCTTTGGGTCCCAACCACACGCTCAGACGGATTTCACGCACATACACCTTCATCTCGGGACCATCACACCCATGGCACGCAGAGTCTCGTCTTCCTCCCTGGGCTCAGAGGGGGGCCCAGGGGGCACCGGGGATGAGGGGCCCTGGCTCAGCATCATGCTTAGCAGACCTTGAGGGAATTTCTTAGTGCTATTGTATGCGGTTGTTTTAGTCTTTCTGGAAGCTGGCTATACTTACAGGTGCACTTACACCTGTGTTTTAGTACCCCCTTTCCTCTCTAGTATACAAGAAAAACATCGCAGGGGGTTTAAAAAAATCTCCATTGAATGAGAGTTCTCAGTATAGGGAGAAGGAACTTTCTGAGATCTTTATGATAGAGTTTTCTTCTCCATGTACTTTTGTTTCTGTTTTTGTGCTGGTGTGTTTCCTCCCTTTTTTTTTTTTCAGTTTTAAGTTTTTGCTGAAGTATAATTTACATGGAAGAAAGGGTATGTTTGACTTTGCAGCTCTCAGAATTGTCACAGCCTGAACACGGCTGAGTATCAGCATGCAGAGGAAGAAGCAGAGCACCATTAGCATCCCGGCATCACCCCCAACATCCCCCTGGCCCTGCCGGGCTACCTCAGGCTGGACATCTAGCAGAATAGGTTCATCCTGGCTCTCTTCGTCCACATAAATGGACTCATGCACTATGTAGTCTTTTGAATCTGGCTTTTTTTGGTTTATCATGATGTTTTTAGTTGTGTCCATATGATAATATGTAGCAATAAACTGGGCATTCTCGCTGCTATATACTGTCCGTGTGTGACTATAACCCAGCTAATATACATATTTTATGATGTGGACATATAACGTATATCATTCCCCTAACAACTTTAGGCTATATTATTTTCATTTTCATTTTCAAATATTTTCAGCTATTTTATCTTCTGGCTTTATTGAGGTATAGTTGACAAAACCCAACTGTGTATATTGATATACACAGTGGAATTCTACTCAGCCATAAAAACACTGGGCGACATGAACGAACCTAAACAGTATCATGCTAAGTGAAATGAGTCAGACAGAGAAAGACAAATACCATATAATTTTACTCCTAGTTGAATCTATGAGCAAAATAAGCAAACAAAATGCAAACAGACTCACAGAAACAGAGAACACACTGAGGGCCGCCAGCAGGGAAGAGGGCTGGGAGTTGGGTGAGGAAGGGGAGGATGGAGAAGCACAGGCTGGCGGACACAGAGCAGCCACGGGGGTGTGAAGTGCGGCCCAGGGAAGAGAGTCAGTAACACATAGTAACTGCGGACGGGCCCACTGGGGGCTTGAAGCCGCACAGTAAGTACTTTAGTATATGAACACGGAAGAGGCACAGTGAAAACCCGGTGTATAGGATGTTTACGTGCAGTGCAGTAAGTGTGCTCTCACCAGCACTGCCAGAGACCCATGAGTAATGCGTTCCATTCTTTCCAGAAGTTCCAGAGGAAAAGGATGGGAGGAAGCATTCAAGTAACTGAAGGGGGGTCATCAAGGCCAGAGCACATGGAGGAAAGACGCTGTGATAACATGAGGAGGAAACGCTGAGAAGTGACTGTGTTTGGCCTGTGTCAGCTAAAGGGGGCATGAGGATGGGAAAGTTAAAAACAAAAAACAACCACCGTGACACAGCTCAGGGGCATAGGCCCACTGAGAGTGGGATTTGAACCCAAGGTCACGCTCACTCTAACAGGCAGCAAAAGACACAGTTCGACAACGCGAAGCCAGCATTAGGGCCGCTCAGCTATGTCACAGATTTGGAATTGTCAGACACAGGATGTGTGTGAATGTGCACACCCACATATGTGTGTACGGAAAGATGTGTTTATTATAAGGAACACTTATTTATGACAGTGAGTGTGCTCGCATGGTTCATCATAAGCAGCTGGCTCGTGTGATCCTGGAGCAAACGTCCTGAGATCTGCAGTCAGCAAGCCGGAGACCCAGGAGACGGCGCTGTAGCTCCCACCTGAAGACATCCGGCTCAGGACTCAGAGAGCCGATGTTCCAGTTCCAGTCCAAGGCCTTGTTCTGAGAGAAAACATTCAAAGGAAGGATGAGTCAGGGGAAGAAAAGGGATAAGGACTTTCTGTCACGATAGGGAAGGCAGAGATAGCTGTGTGAATCCCCCGTTCTCAAAAAGAGAAATCAGTAAAAAGCCATCCCCCTAGCACACAGTTTTCGGAAGGGCCTGCTGCCTTTTTTAAGCCTCTGAGTTCTGGTTAAGCTGGTTCAGAATGAAAGTAATAATGTTCTCCTGCCCTTGTTTTTCCTGTTCACATCACTGAGGCCGCAGACCACACGCACACGGTACTGCACGCATCCGACTCAGGCAGGCCTGGCCCCGGGGCTCCGCGTCCCCTTCCTGTTCCCCCTCACAGCAGACAGCGGCTCCTTCCAGCGCAGCTCTGCAGCTCAGCGAACGTTCCGTCACATTTTCCTGAAAAATATAAGCAATGTTCCAATTTCGTTCAAATGCCAGTGAGGCTGCCTTAAATTCCTCCGGCCACGGCCCCCAGAAGCCTAGAGAGTCGGCCCCAAACGGAGAAATGGACAACTCGTCAGAGCACTTGGTCCCGGGGGTCAGGAGTCCAGGCTCTTCCTCTGGTCCAGTGGCCAGCGAGGTGGTAAGTCCAAACATGTGGTGAGTGTGTCTGTGTGTGTTGTGGTTGTGTGTATATGTTGTGTACCTGTTGTATTTGTGAGTCTGTGGTGTAGTTCTGCATGTGTTATATTTGTATGTTTGAGGGTGTAGGTGTGAATGTGTGTGTGTTTTTGTGTGTTATGTCTGCATATGAGTTGTGTATGGATGTTTGTGTGTGTGCTGTGTTGGTGAGTGTATATGTGTGTGGACATTGTGTTTGTGTGTTACATTTGTGTGTGTGCTTGTGTGGTGTGAATGTGTGTGTTTGTGTGTCGGTATGTTTGTGAGTAGATGGGTGTTCTATGGGGAGTGCATTGTGGGAGTGGTCTGTGTTGTGTTTATGAGAGTGTGTTGCTTTTGGTGTGAGTGTCTCTAGTCTGTGTGTGTCTTTGAGGAACGTTGTTACAAGGGGCTGTGACTAAGAGGAGAAGAGGATTCTGTGCGTTCCGTGTCCTGCCTCAAACCCCGGTTAGTCTAGTCGTGGGGAAGATGCTTCCGTGAGGTCCACTTTCTTCCTGAGGAGCAGCAGGGGGACCCGCCTGCTCCTCGTTCTCTGATGGAGACAAAGTGGAAGGGGGCAGAGGTGCCAGGCACCGTTGAGGGCAGGATCTGTGGAGGCTCTGAGGGACAGGTGTCCTCACACTCGGGGCCTTCACCTGGAGACACTCCCTGACTGTGAGTGTTTCCCTGTGTCCTGTGTGTCCCGGCAGACAAGTCCTGGGCTGCGTACTTCCCGTCCCCAGCCCACAGGGGAGAGAGAGCAGATGCAGCGGGATGGGCTGCTGAGACAGGGAACCATGTCGGTCTGTGAGGTGGTGCGGGAGGTGGCAGGTGCACTGCTCTCGCCCCAGAAGGGTGACGTCAGGTCCTGGCAGGTGACAGGGCCCTCTCTGCAAAGACTGGGACGTGCTCTAGAAAATGTCGTGAAGTGGGTTGGGATGCCACAGGGACCACAGGGACGTGTAGTTGAGGCCCAGATTTCACACTGCGGGGACTCTGAGGCCCAGGCAGTGTGACCATGCTAACAGATGGCCATGAAGCTGGGCACTGAGGTCCCCTGGCTCCCAGCAGGACTGTCCCCACACCGTCAAGTTCCTGTGCCAGGGAAACGGGCCTCCTCACCACAGCACCTGGCCACCCACCTCTGAGCCCTCGCCCACCCTCTCGGCCAGGCTGTCCTCAGGGATCATCCGGGCACCAGGAACTGCTCCCAGGCAGCCCTGCACCACAGCTTCCTGCTCACACTTCCAGTCTGGCCGCTTACCCTCCCACCACTCCTGGAACCGACCATCAGACCTGCTTCTGCATCTCTGCTCTTTCCCTTCCTCACAGGGAGTCCCAGTACCCTGTGTCCACCCCAGCGCCATTGTGCCTTAGGCCACAGGCTGATGGCTCCTTCTCCATGAAATCATGTAGACTGACGATGGGAACCGAGGAGCCAAGAGAGAGAAACAGTGTCCCTGAAGGAGGTAGAACGTGTCTCAGACCTTCCTCCCCCTCCTCTCTCAGTCCATCCCCCCAGAGCAATGCAAACACTTCCTTCTGGCAGGAGAAAGGCAAAGCCAGCTGTCTTGTGAGGCACAGTTGAAACTAAGACAGGCATGTTGTTTCTCCAGGTGGAGGATGAAGAATACGAGCTGATTCTCTGGGACAGCTCCGCAGGAGCGCCGTCCCAGCGTCCTACCCAAGACATGTCAGCAGGTACCACAGCCTTGCAGCATAGGTGGCCCTGAGGGAGGAGTGCACAGGGACGTGGGTGTACACGGGTGCACTTGAGGAGGCAGCGGAGTGCAACCAGCTGGGCTTCACCCTGCACAGAGCCCTTGGGTGGGGCCTTGCCTACCCCTTCAAATAAGAGGGAAAGACCCAGAGTAGCACAGTGGGAGAGAGGGGGCAACCGATGGCTCCAGCCACGCCCTTGGGAAGGTGAGTGTGCGAAGACTACTCCCCATGGCAGAGGCTTGCAGCCCACCGAGCCCACTGGGCAATGGGCTGACTCTGGTGGGGGGCGCTGAGGGTCAGCAGGGCCGCCCAGCACCACTGAAGGACTGAGTGAGGGGCTGCCTCAGGGCTGGGCTGGCCCTTCCCCAGGGCTCTTCCCCTCAAAGCTTTTGCATTGGGGTCAGGGGCTTGAGAGTCATGGGTTTGACCTCATCATCTAACCGGGGGAGACAGAATTAGGGAGTGCTGGCAATGTGTCCATGTTCCTGGCCAGAAGAATTTATCTGTGATTCATTACGTATTTGACACTAATGATTTATTTAGTGTATGAACTTCAATGGCCTGAGTCATTGGGAGAAAACCCTATTAATACACTGCATGGGTAAATTACTGATACAAGAACTAACACTTGATTGGGACGTTTTCATGGCAATTGAGGTTCAATATTACTTTTAGAATCCTCTCTGTAGTCTGATTGGTGTGCTCGGCATAGACTGGCTCCTACCTGCCCAGGTGGGAGTTCCTGTCTTGGTCCGGCTCTAGACCAGCGGGGACGGCAGGGATGAGCACTCTGCATTCCCTGCTTCTTTGACACCTCCCATCCCCGATTCACCCACATTGCTCTCAAAGCTATGTGGGGGGAGCTGGAGGAATCAGCATCCTCAAGCAGAGTTGGTTGCTGGGTCCACCAGCCAAGGACTTCAGGCATGCCTTAGGCAGCTAGGCTCTGTCACTGAGACACACCAATGTCTTCACTATGGAGCAGACGTGGGGACCAGAGGGTCACTGGGCACCTGTCTGTTGCTCCGGGGATGAGCTGAAAGGCCGGGGAAGGAATTCTCTTCCCAGCCTCAGACCCCAGTCACTTGTGAAACCCTCACATCAGGTTTTCAATGTCAGGCTGGCATGTCCATGTCTCCTCTTTGCCCCTGTCCTGTATGCAGCTGGGTGGGAACATCCAGCCCAGATGTCCAGGATGGAGCCCAGGAATGTGCCCCTGGGGAGCCTCTGTGCAGTGGAGTCCGGGGTCTGGCTGAAAGGCACCACCCTCCCCACAGTCAATGTGGAAAAGTGGAGGGAAGTGATGGGGTCAGACACTCGGGGACAAGACACAGACACAGAGGCCACACCTCTGCCCTCATCATCAGGGACACCCAGGAAAGCCCAGGGTCCCCTATTCATGGTGGTCTGATTCTATCCTGGTGAGAAGACGTGACCCTGAGAAGATGTTTTAAACCTAAACACAAAAACGTGGTATTCTGCCACATTATCCAGCAATTGCATTCTGTCTGGGTATGTGCCCCGTAGAACCCAATCAGGAACTTGGACTGGCATTGGTCCACTAAGGTGCGCAGCAGCGTCATTCACAGTAGGAAAAAGTGCAAACGGCTCATGCCCACATGTGAGAGTAAACACAGTGTAGTCCATCCATGCCGTGTGATAGCATCTGGCCTTGCACAAACAGGGAATTCTGACCAGGCTTCAGGGTGGATAAGCCTTGACACCACTGTGATGCTGAGTGAAGGGAACCCAACACAGAAGGTCAAAGTGCAGGGACCCAGGTCTCTGAGGCCCCTAGGAGAGCAGAAGAGCACAGGCCACAGAGATAGGAAGTAGGCTGGCAGTGAGCCGGGGCTCGGGGGGAGGGAGGAATGAGGAGTTGCCGTTTCATGGGGACAGAGTTTCAGTTGGGGGTGACAAAAAATTCAAGAGATGCATAGGAGTGACGACCACACAGCAATGTGAAGGTGCACAGTGCCACTGAATTGCACACCAAAACCCAGTGACAGCAGGGATTTCAAATATTTGTGTATATTTTCCACCATAAAACAATTTTTAAAAAAGGAGCATGGACCCAGAGCAGGTCTCCTGTACAGATGTCACTCTTGTCCCTCCTTCCAGCAGAGCCAGCCCCTGGGGCCATGAGCATCCAGGGCTGAAGACTCTGAGGAGGCCAAATGGGGTTCATGGGCTATAACTCCCACCCCCCTGCTTTGTCTGGATGCTTCTAGATCTGCGGGAGAAGGAAAAGATCCCAAAGAGGCTGAGGCTCCTGCTGGTGGGGAAAAGTGGAAGTGGGAAAAGCGCCACAGGAAACAGCATCCTGGGCAGGGAAGCCTTCAAATCCAAGCTCAGCGCCAGACCTGTGACCGTGACCTTCCAGCATGACTGCCGAGACTGGGCCGGGAAGGAGCTTGAGGTGACCGACACCCCCGATATTCTGTCTTCTCGGGTTTCACGGGAAGGGGCAGCTCAGGGCCCCTGGGCAGCTGTCGCCTGCTGCACCCCTGGGCCACATGCAGTGCTGCTGGTGACACAGCTGGGCCGCTTCACAAAGGAGGACCAGGAGGTGGTCAGGCGCCTCCAGGAGGTCTTTGGGTTGGGTGTCCTGGCCTGCACGATCCTGGTATTCACTCACAAGGAGGACCTCGGGGGCAGCTCCCTGGACGAGTATCTGCGGGACACCGACAACCAGGAGCTCGCAGACCTGGACGTGGTTTGTGCGAGGCGCCACTGTGGCTTCAACAACAGGGCAGATCGTGCGGGGCTGGAGGCCCAGCTGACGGAGCTCATGGAGACCATCGAGGTGATCCTGTGGGAACATGAAGGCCGTCCTTACAGCAAGGAGGTGTTGCCAGCCCCGCATTCTGTGCTGAGAAGGGCAGGTAAGGCAGAGGGTTCAGAGTGAGGCTCTGAGGAAGCAGCCACTGCAGAGTCCTGGCTGGACTGGCTGGACAGAATCCAGGGCACCTGAGAAAATCCGCAGACGTCTCCGAAAGGGGCACCATCTGACTGTGTGCTGACTCCAGTGGGGACAGCCATTTCCTGGGAGCCTCCCCAACCCTTTGTCCACCTCAGAGCCTGTCGCCTCTCTTTGCATCCCATGGCTCCCAGACCCCTTGGGTCTCCAGGGCAGAGTCTGCTGAGTCCCAGCTCCCATCCCGGTCCTTCATCTCGCTCTCGGAGCCCGTGTGCACCCTCCCTTCCCCCCTGCAGCCCGCTGTCTCACACGGACCGCACAGAACGATGGCATCACATTTGTTGAAATTCTTCTCTCTCCTCGAGTGAAACAAAGCTCCCTGAGGGCCGGGTCTCCTCACTCTTCCGTGTCACCCCCACTGCTTTCTGGTCACTGGAGTGACTCCTTACCAATGACAGCAAATCAGTGTGTGCCATTGACCAGGGGACTGTCCAATCTTGGGCTGTGTCCTCACCCACAGAGGGGGCAGCATAATGACTTGAAGGCACCTGAGTGTGTGGTGGGTCAGGACAGAGCCGTGGTTCTGTAGCAGGTGGGGAGGGGCAGCTGCTGGGTGGGGCAGGAGGAGCAAGGGGAAAGAGAGACTTGGCCCGAGGGGCAGCCCATCCACTAACCCCTGAAGGCAGCCATTGAACCACAGTAAATGGGCCTTGTGGGGACTGCTGGTGGGAGTGATGAGCCAAGTGGGGCTGAGGGGTCCAAAGAGCAGGGCCTGGTTGGGATGGTGGCCTGAGACCTCCTATAGGACATGAGGCCCCAGGAGGTGCCAAGGGGCCTTGGATAGAGGAAGAGACTTCCCTAAAGCAGACTAGATTAGGGATGCTATGATTAGGGTCCCTTTTCATCATATCTGCCTCCTGATGTTAGAAACTAAAGGTGGTTCTCCACCCTATCTCAGCCTTACCTGCAACCCTTCTATTCTTACTGGACAGTGGGGAGAGAGGGGGCATGGGGTCAGTGTCTGGGTGTGTAGTGGGGTCCTCTGTGAGGTATCTGTGGTGTCGGATAGAGGGGTGCAGGGAAGAAAGGGAAGCTGCAAAGGGAGCAGCTGAGGCTGTGAGCACGATAGGAAGCACCTGCCTGATGGATGGGGAGGACTCTGCACCCCACAGGGGGTCCTCCTGGAGGGCAGCTTCTGGGGACAAGGCCATAGGAGGCGAGGTGGACTAGGACCAGAAGACACCAGGATGGTGGTTGGCCCTGGCCTCTGACTGGTAAGTGCCATGTGACCTCACAAAGAGACTGACACTCCTCAGATGCCCCTCAGCTTCTCTGAGGCTCAGGATGCTCCCTGGGGAGTCTGACCAAGGGATGGAAACAGGACAGTTGGGAACGAGAGAACTGTCCCCTGAGAGACTTCTCTGTCCCTTCTTCACACCATGTGGCAGAGGGTCTCTAGCTGCCTTCTTCAGAGAGGGGTGGGAAATAAGGTGGAGTGACAGCATTTGGGGACAGTCAGCAATCAGAGGCAGCCATAGGTCTGTCTGGGTGCTCACCTGCCCCTCAGAGATCCTCTGCCATCAGGGGCCCCATCAGGACCCCTGGTCTACCAGTGCAGAGGCCATGGACTCCCACTGTCCCTAGACATGGGGGGCACCAAGAAAGCCAGTGCGTTTCATTGGCTGAAAGATTCAGAGAAGCATCTCAGGACAGAACAAGGACCCAGTTTTGTGGGCACCTGAGACAGATCCATTTACTCAATAAGCCATCCACAGTCCGTGGACGGAACCCAGCCATATTCCCTGTGAGGTCTGCATGCTGCCGAAGACCCACATCAGGACTTCAGTTCTGTTCCATCTCCTGCTTTTCTCCTCCTTGTGCATAAAGTATTGATTTGATCACAATGGCTTTGATTTCCTCATTATTGTATTTCCCTTGTTATTCTTCTACATGAAAATTAAAATCCCTGGTGTAACATCCAGAATGGGACCTTATCGGCATTCTGGTGGATCGGCTCCCACCCCTGCACTAGGTTCAGGTAAACAGTCAGTACTTCAGGGTCAGGGGAGTCAAGGTCATCGTGTTTCTAAGTGAGCAGTCTCGTTACCCCAGAGCTGCTGAGTCAAAGTTCAAACCATTTGCATTTCCATTAGGACAACCTGATAAATTAAGTGTATATTGTTTACCTGGTAGGTTAATTCATTCAGCCCTTGTTGGTGCAGCTCAGTGGTTGAGGGCCGGCCTGAAAATCAGAGGGTTGCCAGTTGGATTCCCAGTCAAGGCCTGTGCCTGGGTTGCAGGCCAGGTCCCTAGTAGGGGGCACACAAGAGGCAACCACACATTGATGTTTCCCTCTCTTTTCTCCGTCCCTTCACCCCTCTAAAAATAAATAAATAAAATCTTTAAAAAAATAAAAATATATTCCCTCTCAGTGATCCAAGGTATCCAGTGCCCCAGGATGCAGCAGGACAGTGTGCGTGTCAGGGGGACGACATAGGGGAGCACCTGGGATTGCCATTCTTCTCTCACCTTTCCAAACCAATTATGCCTGGGGTTGGTATCATTTCAGATTCCTCTTCTCCGGTTGTTCACCTTTTTCACTTTCTCCCTCTGATGTTGCCCCTCCGAAAACACCCACAAACACTGATGCTGCTCACAGAGAGGATTTGGGGTGGATCTGGGGGTCCAGCCCTGCCCACACGAGTCTCCATCCTATGCCTCCTCTTCCCCCTCTTCCCTCTGTTTCCTCTGGGCAACCTCTCCCTCTCCCTGCCCCTCCCCGCCACCTGCCAAGCCTTCTCAGGCATTTTTCTTTAGAGCTATAGGGGAAGTGAGATACAAGACACTTGGCCAAGTAATATCATAAGTCTTAAAGAATTCCCAAATCTTTGAAGAATGTTGTGAACTTGGCGGGGGGGATTCAATATGGTGGTACAGGTATTATCAAATCTTTTCAACCTGTCAGATGAGAAATTGAATCGCTAAGTGGCACCAGTCCCTCATGGTGGGAGCATCTGCTTCAGGTTGCAGGGGCAGACCCTGACGGGGACCAATCGGCAACGGGATGATGAGGAATATCCCCCCGCTTCTTCCCTGTGATGCAGAGAACACAGCAGGACCAACTGTGGTGCCAGGTGTAGGACAGAGGATTCAGAACAGCTGGATAGTCCACCTGCAGATTTACCTTCTACCTGACCTTCCTATGGAAACGTTTCCGTCTCATCAAAGACATAACAGCCCTCACACCTGTTTGATGCTGGTGTGATGGGGACAAAGTATTAGTTTCTTTACTCCCCACTTTGTACCAAGCACCTGGTGTGTACAAGGACCTCACCAAAGATTTCTTCCCCCACCCTTGTGAAAGATGGGGAAACTTGGCTCGGGGAACATGTCCACAGCACAGATGGTCCCAAGATTGTTGCTCTTAGAAGAACTTTGAGCTCCTCTCCCCCTGGTGGTTCCCTCTGCACTCTCAGTCATGTGCCACTGTCCTCTGTCCGTCGTGTCTGAGTCACACAGACCTGCAATTCAGTTCCCTCACTGGCCCCACAGCAACAGCACGTATGGAGCTTTCTGTAGCCTTTGGCTTTGTCACTGAGATTTTGGAAGTCACAGGAAGGGTGACCCCAAGTAGCACCAGGCATTACTGCACCAAGCTGATGGTTTTCCATCTGGAAGGGGGAAGGGCTTAACCTACCACCCAGCAGAGAGAGACACTTCATAAATCATCTCCCCTCAGAAAGGCAAAGCAGTTGGTCTCTTTCCGGATGTGAATCCATTTCTTCTTCTTATTATTTTTACTTAAAAAAAAAGGAACCGGACTGTTCTCCCTCACTTTTGGCCAGTGGTGACCAGACCTGACCTGAACTGTGGTCCCTTGGTTCATTCCCCAGGCAGACCACCTAAGTTCCCTTTGGGCACGTGACTACCAGACATGGAAATGTGCTTTGGGAACTCATAGAAATTACTCAGATAGGAGTCCCCAGAAGAGAAGGGATAGATTTGCACTACTGTTATCCATACAATAAAGGGATCTCATTTGTAACCAGGAAATCTGCAAAGGTCTCAGAAACCTTGATTACATGTACTTTCCATACAAACCTGAATGAATGAATCCAGACACAATGAATGAATCCAAGGAGAATGTTGTTTTTGACAGAGGGGGTCAGGACGAGGGGAGATCTGTTAGGGTATACAGAAGCCAAGCTCCATAATCATTTTGTAATTTTACCAAAAAGTAAAATTCATCCCTGTGCTCTTAGAAGAAATATCAGTGTTTTTTTTCCCATGGTAAAAGACTGCCATTTTTGCACAGATTCAAGAGAATAGAAAAGTTTTATTGTAGTAAGAGTAAGCAAACAATTCAGGGGGTGGGGCAGCAGTGTGCAGACCAGCCTCCCAGCAGGGAGTCATCAGGGTGCGGGGAGATGGAGGTGCGGTGGCAACAGTTGGCTTCCCAAGAAAAGGAGAGGAATGGTTATTCAGCAACATGCTTGTGTTGAGGTTGGTCAAAGAGCTTCTACATGACCATCTGAATGTTCCAAACAATGCTCTCTTTCCTGTTGAATCTGTGTCTTTTATCTTTTCTGGCATTTCACTTTGCTGAGTTCTAGAAGATCTGTTTTTCAGACAGGTCTTTGTTCTTTAGTGAGCCATTAATAAGGAACAATCTGAGTCCTTCCATAAAAATGTAATTCAACAAATTTATGTTCATCAAGAAAGAATTCTATAAGCATATCTGTATAGATTACTAAATGCAAGGAGATAACTTCACTAGACACTTGGGTACAGTGATCACTGTGACCCTAAAGACAAAAATTAGGAGAAGAACCACAGGTGGAGATTATCTGCCAATCTAGAAAGAATCTGGAGGAGAAACAGTTACTAGGGACAAATAGACCAAGCCTGGGTCACCGACTTTTGGTCTTCTGTATTCCTTCTGTGTGTGTCTGAGAAAGAGTTCAGGTCACAGGGAACATCTGTATATTCTTCTTTGGAGTTTTACAGATTGGACACATGTCCCTCCCCTGTGAAATCAATTAAATCGCCAACAATGGCCAACAATGGCGAACAGTGAACTTTCTAGCCGTCCCTAGTCCTGAGAGCCTGAGGGACAGAAGCTGGTAGCTCTGACTTTGGGGAATGATTTCTAGGAGGAAGGGGCACCAGAAAATATGCAGGAAATATGGACAGATTTTCATTTTTAAAAAATTTTATCTTAATCATTGTTCAAGTACAGTTTTCTCCTTTTTACTCCCAATCCAGCCTCCCCTCCCACCCCTCCCCACTTCCCTCCCATTACCACCCTCCCCCTAGTTTTTGACCATGTATCCTTTAAGTTTGTTCCCGTGAACCCTTCCCACTGACCCTGAAATTCCCTCCCCTCTCCCCTGTGGTCACTGTCAGCCTGTCCTCTATTTCAGTGTCTTTGGTTATATTTTGCTTCTTTCTTTGTTTTGCTGTTTAGGTTCCTGTTAAAGGTGAGATCATATGGTATTTGTCTTTCACTGCCTGGCTTGTTTCACTTAGCATAATGCTTTCCAGCTCCATCCAAGCTGTTGCAAAAGGCAGGAGCTCCTTCTTTCTTTCTGCTGCATAGAATTCCGTTGTGTAAATGTACCATAGTTTTTTGATCCATTCATTCACTGATGTGCATCTTGGTTGCTTCCAGCACTTGGCTATTTTAAATTGTGCTGCTATGAACATTGGGTGCATAGGTTCTTTTGGATTGGTGTTTCAGGTTCTTAGGGTATAGTCCCAGCAGAGGAATCACAGGGTCAAAAGGCAGATCCATTTTTAGTTTTCTGAGGAAGTTCCATACTGCTTTCCATAGTGGTTGTACCAGTCTGCAGTCCCACCAACAGTGCACTAGGGTCCCCTTTTCTCCACAACCTCTCCAGCACTTGTTGTTTGTTGCTTTGTTTATGATGGCCATTCTGACTGGTGTGAAGTGGTATCTCATTGTGGTTTTAATTTGCCTCTCTCTGATAGCTGGCAATGTTGAACATTGTTTCATGTGTCTTTGGATTTTCTGTATGTCCTCCTTGGAGAAATGTCTGTTCAAGGCCTTTGCCAACTTTTTAGTTGGATTCCTTGTCTTCTTAGAGTGCAGTCGTGTAACTTCTTTATATATTTTGGAGATTAAACCCTTGTCTGAGGTATCACTGGCAAATATGTTTTTCCATACAGTTGGTTCTCTTTTAATTTTGATACTGTTTTCTTTAGCTGTGCAGAAGCTTTTAATTTTGATGAAGTCCCATTTGTTTATTTTTTCCTTTATGTCCCTTGCTCTAGGGGACAGGTCAGTAAAAAAGTTTCTTTGTGAAATATCTGAGATTTTCCTACCTACGTTCTCCTCTAGGACTTTAATTCTGTCACATTTTATATTTAAGTCTTTTATCCACCTTGAATTTATTTTTGTATAAGGTGTAAGTTGGTGCTCGAGTTTCATTTTTTTGCATGTGGCTGTCCAGTTCTCCCAGCACCATTTGTTGAAGGGGCTATTTTTATTCCATTTTATGTTGCTGCGTCCTTTGTCAAATATTAATTGACCATAGAGACTTAGGTTTATTTCTCGGCTCTCTGTTCTGTACCATTGGTCTATGTGCCTGTTTTTATGGCAGTACCAGGCTGTTTTGATTACAGTGGCCTTGTAGTATAGTTTAGTGTCGGGTATTGTAATCCCTCCTACTTTACTCTTTTTTTCCGAAATTTGCAGCAACTATTCAGGGTCGTTTATGATTCCATATAAATTTTTGAAGTGTTTGTACTATGTCTGTGAAATATGCCATTGGTACTTTAATAGGAATTACATTGAATGTGTAAATTGCTTTGGATAGTATGGACATTTTGATGATATTAATTCTTTCAATCCATGCACACGGTATATGTTTCCATTTGTTTGTGTCCTCCTTGATTCCTTCCTGAGTGTTATGTAGTTTTCTGAATACAGGTCTTTTACCTCTTTGGTTAGGTTTATTACTAGATATTTTATTTTTCTTTTTGCTATTTCAAATGGGTTTTTTCCCTTGATCTCTGCTTCTGCTGTTTCATTGTTGGTGTACAGAAATGCCTTTGGTTTCTGGATATTGACTTTGTATCCCACTGTTTTGCCAAATTCATTTATTAGGTCAAGCAGTTTTTTGGTGGAGTCTATAGAATTTTCTATGTATACTATCACATCATCTGCAAACAGTGACAGTTTTGTTTCCTCCTTTCCGATTTGAATGCCTTTTATTTCTTTTTCTTGTTTGATTGCTGTGGCTAAAACTTCCAGTACTATACTGAATAGAAGTGGTGAAAGTGGACAGCCTTGTCTTGTTCCTGATCTTAGTGGAAAAGATTTTAATTTTTGCCCATTGGGTATGATGTTGGCTGTAGGTCTCTCATATATGGCCTTTATTATGTTGAGGAATGCTCCCTCTATTCCCACTTTGCCAAGTGTTTTTATTATGAATGGGTGCTGTACCTTATCAAATGCTTTTTCGGCATCAATTGATATGATCATGTGGTTTTTGTCTTTGCTTTTGTTTATGTGATGTATTACATTTACTGACTTGCGAATATTGAACCATCCTTGCATCTCTGGAATGAATCCCACTTGTTCATGGTGTATAATCTTTTTAATGTATTGTTGGATGTGATTTGCCAGTATTTTGTTGAGGATTTTAGCGTCAATGTTCATCAGTGATATTGGCCTGAAGTTTTCTTTCTTTGTTGTGTCTTTATCTAGTTTTGGAATTAGGATGATGTTGGCCTCATGAAAAGAGTTTGGGAGACTCCCATCTTTTTGGATTTTTTGGAATAGTCTGTGAAGGATAGGGGTTAGCTCTTCCTTAAATGCTTTGTAGAATTCTCTTGTGAAACCATCTGGTCCCGGGCTTTTGTGTGTTGGGAGTTTTTTGATTACTGCTTCAATTTCTTTTGTTGTTATTGGTCTGTTCAGGCTTTCTGCTTCTTTTTCATTGAGTTTTTGGAAGATTATATTTTTTCTAGAAATTTGTCCATTTCATCTAGGTTTTCAAATTTCTTGGCATACAGTTCTTTGTAGTAATTTCTTACAATCCTTTGTGTTTCTGTGGTATCTGTTGTAATCTCTCCTCTTTCATTTCTGATTGTGTTTATTTGGGTCTTGTCTCTTTTTTTCTTGATGAGTCTGCTTAAAGGCTTGTCAGTTTTGTTTATCTTTTCAAAGAACCAGCTATTGGATTCATTGATCCTTAGAATTGTG